CACCACCACCACCACCTGCCCCACCACCACCACCTGCCCCCCCACCACCACCACCACCTGCCCCACCACCACCTTCCCCTTAGGTCGACTGTGCCTCAGATGAGTTTACCTGCATGCGGGTGGGATGTGTCAAGTCACGCGCGCAAAAAAAAATAATCAACGGGGAGAGACAAAGGCGGCCGGGCGCGTGTCGTGGCGTGGTGCTGGCCAGCCACGCACACACCTTTAGTGTGCCACAGTGTGCCGGCCTTCGTATGTGCTGCTCGCTGACAGCACTTGCCCCTGCAGTCCTGCTAGAGGCTACACGGGGTGCCTTTATCTGTGTGTCTATAGGGTGGTGCTCGCTGACAGCACTTGCCCCTGCAGTCCTGCTAGAGGCTACACGGGGTGCCTTTATCTGTGTGTCTATAGGGTGGTGCTCGCTGACAGCACTTGCCCCTGCAGTCCTGCTAGAGGCTACACGGGGTGCCTTTATCTGTGTGTCTATAGGGTGGTGCTCGCTGACAGCACTTGCCCCTGCAGTCCTGCTAGAGGCTACACGGGGTGCCTTTATCTGTGTGTCTATAGGGTGCTGCTCGCTGACAGCACTTGCCCCTGCAGTCCTGTTAGAGGCTACACGGGGTGCCTTTATCTGTGTGTCTATAGGGTGCTGCTCGCTGACAGCACTTGCCCCTGCAGTCCTGCTAGAGGCTACACGGGGGACCTTTATCTGTGTCTATAGGCTGGTGCTCGCTGGCAGCACTTGCCCCTGCAGTCCTGCTAGAGGCTACACGGGGTGCCTTTATCTGTGTGTCTATAGGGTGCTGCTCGCTGACAGCACTTGCCCCTGCAGTCCTGCTAGAGGCTACACGGGGTGCCTTTATCTGTGTCTATAGGATGCTGCTCGCTGACAGCACTTGCCCCTGCAGTCCTGCTAGAGGCTACACGGGGTGCCTTTATCTGTGTGTCTATAGGGTGGTGCTCGCTGACAGCACTTGCCCCTGAAGTCCTGTTAGAGGCTACACGGGGTGCCTTTATCTGTGGGCAGAGGAGGCACAGCTGGTGCATCGGCCAGTCATCTCGGTCAGTCAACCCATGGCACCTGGGTCTGTCCCGTGACCTCCTCCTGCACCTAGCCTGGCACAGTGGGGGAGCACAGGAGCTGCATCTGCCAGAGACCCATAGACTACTCACACAGAGACCCATAGACTACTCGCACAGAGACCCATAGACTACTCACACAGAGACCCATAGACTACTCACACAGAGACCCATAGACTACTCACACAGAGACCCATAGACTACTCACACAGAGACCCATAGACTACTCACACAGAGACCCATAGACTACTCACACAGAGACCCATAGACTACTCACACAGAGACCCATAGACTACTCACACAGAGACCCATAGACTACTCACACAGAGACCCATAGACTACTCACACAGAGACCCATAGACTATTCACACAGAGACCCATAGACTACTCACACAGAGACCCATAGACTACTCACACAGAGACCCATAGACTACTCACACAGAGACCCATAGACTTCTCACACAGAGACCCATAGACTACTCACACATAGACCCATAGACTACTCACACAGAGACCCATAGATTCATCACACAGCAGAGACCCATAGACTACTCGCACAGATACCCATAGACTACTCACACAGAGACCCATAGACTACTCACACAGAGACCCATAGATTCATCACACAGCAGAGACCCATAGACTACTCGCACAGATACCCATAGACTACTCACACAGAGACCCATAGACTACTCACACAGAGACCCATAGACTACTCACACAGAGACCCATAGACTACTCACACAGAGACCCATAGACTACTCACACAGAGACCCATAGACTACTCACACAGAGACCTATAGACTCATCACACAGCAGAGACCCATAGACTCATCACACAGCAGAGACCCATAGACTACTCGCACACAGCCCCATAGACTACTCACACAGAGACCCATAGACTACTCACACAGAGACCCATAGACTACTCACACAGAGACCCATAGACTACTCACACAGACCCATAGACTACTCTCACAGAGACCCATAGACTACTCACACAGAGACCCATAGACTACTCACACAGAGACCCATAGACTACTCACACAGAGACCCATAGACTATTCACACAGAGACCCATAGACTACTCACACAGAGACCCATAGACTACTCGCACAGAGACCCATAGACTACTCACACAGAGACCCATAGACTTCTCACACAGAGACCCATAAACTACTCACACATAGACCCATAGACTACTCACACAGAGACCCATAGATTCATTCACACAGCAGAGACCCATAGACTACTCGCACAGATACCCATAGACTACTCACACAGAGACCCATAGACTACTCACACAGAGACCCATAGATTCATCACACAGCAGAGACCCATAGACTACTCGCACAGATACCCATAGACTACTCACACAGAGACCCATAGACTACTCACACAGAGACCCATAGACTACTCACACAGAGACCCATAGACTACTCACACAGAGACCCATAGACTACTCACACAGAAACCCATAGACTACTCACACAGAGACCCATAGACTCATCACACAGCAGAGACCCATAGACTCATCACACAGCAGAGACCCATAGACTACTCGCACACAGCCCCATAGACTACTCACACAGAGACCCATAGACTACTCACACAGAGACCCATAGACTACGCACACAGACCCATAGACTACTCACACAGAGACCCATAGACTACTCACACAGAGACACAGACTACTCACACAGAGACCCATAGACTATTCACACAGCCCCATAGATTACTCGCACAGAGACCCATAGACTACTCGCACAGAGACCCATAGACTACTCGCACAGATATCCATAGACTACTCACACAGCCCCATTGACTACTCACACAGAGACCCATAGACTACTCACACAGAGACCCATAGACTACTCACACAGAGACCCATAGACTACTCACACAGAAACCCATAGACTACTCACACAGAGACCCATAGACTCATCACACAGCAGAGACCCATAGACTCATCACACAGCAGAGACCCATAGACTACTCGCACACAGCCCCATAGACTACTCACACAGAGACCCATAGACTACTCACACAGAGACCCATAGACTACGCACACAGACCCATAGACTACTCACACAGAGACCCATAGACTACTCACACAGAGACACAGACTACTCACACAGAGACCCATAGACTATTCACACAGCCCCATAGATTACTCGCACAGAGACCCATAGACTACTCGCACAGAGACCCATAGACTACTCGCACAGAGACCCACAGACTACTCACACAGCCCCATTGACTACTCACACAGAGACCCATAGACTACTCACACAGAGACCCATAGACTACTCACACAGAGACCCATAGACTACTCACACAGAGACCCATAGACTTCTCACACAGAGACCCATAGACTACTCACACAGAGACCCATAGACTACTCACACAGAGACCCATAGATTCATCACACAGCAGAGACCCATAGACTACTCGCACAGATACCCATAGACTACTCACACAGAGACCCATAGACTACTCACACAGAGACCCATAGATTCATCACACAGCAGAGACTCATAGACTACTCGCACAGATATCCATAGACTACTCACACAGAGACCCATAGACTACTCACACAGAGACCCATAGACTACTCACACAGAGACCCATAGACTACTCACACAGAGACCCATAGACTACTCACACAGAGACCCATAGACTCATCACACAGCAGAGACCAATAGACTCATCACACAGCAGAGACCCATAGATACTCGCACACAGCCCCATAGACTACTCACACAGAGACCCATAGACTACTCACACAGAGACCCATAGACTACTCACACAGAGACACAGACTACTCACACAGAGACCCATAGACTATTCACACAGCCCCATAGATTACTCGCACAGAGACCCATAGACTACTCGCACAGAGACCCATAGACTACTCGCACAGAGACCCACAGACTACTCACACAGCCCCATTGACTACTCACACAGAGACCCATAGACTCATCACACAGCAGAGACCCATAGACTCATCACACAGCAGAGACCCATAGACTCATCACACAGCAGAGACCCATAGACTCATCACACAGCAGAGACCCATAGACTCATCACACAGCAGAGACCCATAGACTCATCACACAGCAGAGAGCCATAGACTCATCACACAGCAGAGACCCATAGACTCATCATACAGACCCATAGACTCATCACACAGCAGAGACCCATAGACTGATCACACAGCAGAGACCCATAGACTCATCACACAGCAGAGACCCATAGACTACTCACACAGAGACCCATAGACTCATCACAGAGACCCGTAGACTGCTCACACCCTTCCTTCGTACCTGCATACAGGTCGATAGATGTTCAACACAAACGCGTACATTAGTAGCAGCACCCTCGTGATGAGTTGGTGTTCCTCGAGACTGCTCGGGTCTCCTCGAGGTGCCGGTGTGGTGGGGTGAATGTTTAACAGCGACACCGCCGCCACCAATGCCGACGCCGTTCACCACCAAACGACGGTGACGTCACCACGGCGCCCGTGCCAGGCCAGGTGCACTTTGAGGCAGTCACGTGGAGTGTCGAAGGGTCGCTGCTGGCAGGAGGTGACGGGACAGACCCGGCAGGTGCCACGGGTTGGCTGACTGAGATGACCGGTTAGATGACCAAGCTTTGTATCCCCTGCTGTGCCAGGCTAGGTGCAGGAGGTCACGGGACAGACCCGGCAGGTGCCACGGCTTGGCTGACTGAGATGACCGGTTAGATGACCAAGCTTTGTATCCCCTGCTGTGCCAGGCTAGGTGCAGGAGGTCACGGGACAGACCCGGCAGGTGCCACGGGTTGGCTGACTGAGATGACCGGTTAGATGACCAAGCTTTGTATCCCCTGCTGTGCCAGGCTAGGTGCAGGAGGTCACGGGACAGACCCGGCAGGTGCCATGGGTTGGCTGACTGAGATGACCGGTAGATGCACCACCAGCTGTACCCCCTACTGTGCCGCCGCCGCCGTGTTCACCGCCACCACCACCATCACCACTGCCGCCACCACCGCCGCGATCACCACCACCACCGCCGCGATCACCGCCACCACTGCCGCCACCGTGATCACCGCCACCATCACCACTGCCGCCACCACCGCCGCCACCGTGATCACCGCCACCACTACCGCCATCACCGCCACCACTGCCGCCGCCGTCACCACCACGAACCGCCACCACCACCACTGCTACCGCCACAGCCGTCATCAACTCCACCACCACCACCACTGCCGCCACCACCACCACCGCCGCCACCACCACCACCGTGATCGTCATCATCGCCGGGTCTGGGTTAAGTGAGCCCTGCTGGGTGCGGCAAGAATGTGCAGCAGTGCGGCTGAGTGATATCGGGAGAGTGCATGTTGTTACTGTCAATGATGCTGTGACGTTACGTACGTTGCACAAATCACGTAGCCAGCCATGCTCATCCGAGGTGCGGGGGAAGCACAAAAAACTGTGGGCCTCTGCTGTGTGATGAGTCTATGGGTCTCTGCTGTGTGATGAGTCTATGGGTCTCTGCTGTGTGATGAGTCTATGGGTCTCTGCTGTGTGATGAGTCTGTGGGTCTTTGCTGTGTGATGAGTCTATGGGTCTCTGTGTGTGATGAGTCTATGGGTCTCTGCTGTGTGATGAGTCTATGGGTCTCTGCTGTGTGATGAGTCTATGGGTCTCTGCTGTGTGATGAGTCTATGGGTCTCTGCTGTGTGGTGAGTCTATGGGTCTCTGCTGTGTGATGAGTCTATGGGTCTCTGCTGTGTGATGAGTCTATGGGTCTCTGTGTGTGATGAGTCTATGGGTCTCTGTGTGTGATGAGTTTATGGGTCTCTGCTGTGTGATGAGTCTATGGGTCTCTGCTGTGTGATGAGTCTATGGGTCTCTGCTGTGTGATGAGTCTATGGGTCTCTGCTGTGTGATGAGTCTATGGGTCTCTGCTGTGTGATGAGTCTATGGGTCTCTGCTGTGTGATGAGTCTATGGGTCTCTGCTGTGTGATGAGTCTGTGGGTCTCTGCTGTGTGATGAGTCTATTGGTCTCTGCTGTGTGATGAGTCTATGGGTCTCTGCTGTGTGATGAGTCTATGGGTCTCTGCTGTGTGATGAGTCTATGGGTCTCTGCTGTGTGATGAGTCTATGGGTCTCTGCTGTGTGATGAGTCTATGGGTCTCTGCTGTGTGATGAGTCTATGGGTCTCTGCTGTGTGATGAGTCTATGGGTCTCTGCTGTGTGATGAGTCTGTGGGTCTCTGCTGTGTGATGAGTCTATTGGTCTCTGCTGTGTGATGAGTCTATGGGTCTCTGCTGTGTGATGAGTCTATGGGTCTCTGCTGTGTGATGAGTCTATGGGTCTCTGCTGTGTGATGAGTCTATGGGTCTCTGTGTGTGATGAGTCTATGGGTCTCTGCTGTGTGATGAGTCTATGGGTCTCTGCTGTGTGATGAGTCTATGGGTCTCTGCTGTGTGATGAGTCTATGGGTCTCTGCTGTGTGATGAGTCTATGGGTCTCTGCTGTGTGATGAGTCTATGGGTCTCTGCTGTGTGATGAGTCTATGGGTCTCTGCTGTGTGATGAGTCTATGGGTCTCTGCTGTGTGATGAGTCTATGGGTCTCTGCTGTGTGATGAGTCTATGGCTCTCTGTGTGATGAGTCTATGGGTATCTGCTGTGTGATGAGTCTATGGCTCTCTGCTGTGTGATGAGTCTATGGGTCTCTGCTGTGTGATGAGTCTATGGGTCTCTGCTGTGTGATGAGTCTATGGGTCTCTGCTGTGTGATGAGTCTATAGCTCTCTGCTGTGTGATGAGTCTATGGCTCTCTGCTGTGTGATGAGTCTATGGGTCTCTGCTGTGTGATGAGTCTATGGGTCTCTGCTGCGTGATGAGTCTATGGGTCTCTGCTGTGTGATGAGTCTATGGGTCTCTGCTGTGTGATGAGTCTATTGGTCTCTGCTGTGTGATGAGTCTATGGGTCTCTGCTGTGTGATGAGTCTATGGGTCTCTGCTGTGTGATGAGTCTGTGGGTCTCTGCTGTGTGATGAGTCTATGGGTCTCTGTGTGTGATGAGTCTATGGGTCTCTGCTGTGTGATGAGTCTATGGGTCTCTGCTGTGTGGTGAGTCTATGGGTCTCTGCTGTGTGATGAGTCTATGGGTGTCTGTTGTGTGATGAGTCTACAGTGAGGGAACAAAGTATTTGATCCCCTGCTGATTTTGTACGTTTGCCCACTGACAAAGAAATGATCAGTCTATAATTTTAATGGTAGGTTTATTTGAACAGTGAGAGACAGAATAACAACAAAAAAATCCGGAAAAATGCATGTCAAAAATGTTATAAATTCATTTGCATTTTAATGAGGGAAATAAGTATTTGACCCCCTCTCAATCAGAAAGATTTCTGGCTCACAGGTGTCTTTTATACAGGTAACGAGCTGAGATTAGGAGCACACTCTTAACGGGAGTGCTCCTAATCTCAGCTTGTTACCTGTATAAAAGACACATGTCAACAGAAGCAATCAATCAATCAGATTCCAAACTCTCCACCATGGCCAAGACCAAAGAGCTCTCCAAGGATGTCAGGAACAAATATTGTAGACCTACACAAGGCTGGAATGGGCTACAAGACCATTGCCAAGCAGCTTGGTGAGAAGGTGACAACAGTTGGTGCGATTATTCACAAATGGAAGAAACACAAAAGAACTGTCAATCTCCCTCGGCCTGGGGCTCCATGCAAGATCTCACCTCGTGGAGTTGCAATGATCATGAGAACGGTGAGGAATCAGCCCAGAACTACACGGGAGGATTTTGTCAATGATCTTAAGGCAGCTGGGATCATAGTCACCAAGAAAACAATTGGTAACACACTACGCCGTGAAGGACTGAAATCCTGCAGCGCCCGCAAGGTCCCCCTGCTCAAGAAAGCACGTAAACATGCCCGTCTGAAGTTTGCCAATGAACATCTGAATGATTCAGAGGACAACTGGGTGAAAGTGTTGTGGTCAGATGAGACCAAAATGGAGCTCTTTGGCATCAACTCAACTTGCCGTGTTTGGAGGAGGAGGAATGCTGCCTATGACCCCAAGAACACCATCCCCACCGTCAAACATGGAGGTGGAAACATTATGCTTTGGGGGTGTTTTTCTGCTAAGGGGACAGGACAACTTCACCGCATCAAAGGGACGATGGACGGGGCCATGTACCGTCAAATCTTGTGTGAGAACCTCCTTCCCTCAGCCAGGGCATTGAAAATGGGTCGTGGATGGGTATTCCAGCATGACAATGACCCAAAACACGGTCAAGGCAACAAAGGAGTGGCTCAAGAAGAAGCACATTAAGGTCCTGGAGTGGCCTAGCCAGTCTCCAGACCTTAATCCCATAGAAAATCTGTGGAGGGAGCTGAAGGTTCGAGTTGCCAAACGTCAGCCTCGAAACCTTAATGACTTGGAGAAGATCTGCAAAGAGGAGTGGGACAAAATCCCTCCTGAGATGTGTGCAAACCTGGTGGTCAACTACAAGAAACGTCTGACCTCTGTGATTGCCAACAAGGGTTTTGCCACCAAGTACTAAGTCATGTTTTACAGAGGAGTCAAATACTTATTTCCCTCATTAAAACGCAAATCAATTTATAACATTTTTGACATGCGTTTTTCTGGATTTTTTTGTTGTCATTCTGTCTCTCACTGTTCAAATAAACCTACCATTAAAATTATAGACTGATCATTTCTTTGTCAGTGGGCAAACGTACAAAATCAGCAGGGGATCAAATACTTTTTTCCCTCACTGTATGGGTCTCTGCTGTGTGATGAGTCTATGGCTCTCTGCTGTGTGATGAGTCTATGGCTCTCTGCTGTGTGATGAGTCTATGGCTCTCTGCTGTGTGATGAGTCTATGGGTCTCTGCTGTGTGATGAGTCTATGGCTCTCTGCTGTGTGATGAGTCTATCGGTCTCTGCTGTGTGATGAGTCTATGGGTCTCTGCTGTGTGATGAGTCTATGGCTGTCTGCTGTGTGATGAGTCTATGGCTCTCTGCTGTGTGATGGGTCTATGGCTCTCTGCTGTGTGATGAGTCTATGGCTCTCTGCTGTGTGATGAGTCTATGGCTCTCTGCTGTGTGATGAGTCTATGGCTGTCTGCTGTGTGATGAGTCTATGGCTCTCTGCTGTGTGATGAGTCTATGGGTCTCTGCTGTGTGATGAGTCTATGGCTCTCTGCTGTGTGATGAGTCTATGGGTGTCTGCTGTGTGATGAGTCTATGGCTCTCTGCTGTGTGATGAGTCTATGGCTGTCTGCTGTGTGATGAGTCTATGGGTCTCTGCTGTGTGATGAGTCTATGGGTCTCTGCTGTGTGGTGAGCATATGGCTCTGCTGTGTGATGAGTCTATGGGTCTCTGCTGTGCGATGAGTCTATGGCTCTCTGCTGTGTGATGAGTCTATGGGTCTCTGCTGTGTGATGAGTCTACGGGTCTCTGTGTGTGATGAGTCTACGGGTATCTGCTGTGTGATGAGTCTACGGGTATCTGCTGTGTGATGAGTCTATGGGTCTCTGCTGTGTGATGAGTCTATGGGTCTCTGCTGTGTGATGAGTCTATGGCTCTCTGCTGTGTGATGGGTCTATGGCTCTCTGCTGTGTGATGAGTCTATGGCTCTCTGCTGTGTGATGAGTCTATGGGTCTCTGCTGTGTGATGAGTCTATGGGTCTCTGCTGTGTGATGAGTCTGTGGGTCTTTGCTGTGTGATGAGTCTATGGGTCTCTGTGTGTGATGAGTCTATGGGTCTCTGCTGTGTGATGAGTCTATGGGTCTCTGCTGTGTGATGAGTCTATGGGTCTCTGCTGTGTGATGAGTCTATGGGTCTCTGCTGTGTGGTGAGTCTATGGGTCTCTGCTGTGTGATGAGTCTATGGGTCTCTGCTGTGTGATGAGTCTGTGGGTCTCTGCTGT